CTAATCTTCTTGGATATAATTAGAATAAATATATTAATAATATTCTAATTATATCCAAGAAGATTAAAATGATTAGGGTAAGAAACCCTTCGGTATAATTAGAATATTATAAAAAAAATAATATTTTTTATACCATTTGGAGAGTAATCAGAATAATTATCTTCAAAGCTTTCAGAATCAAAAAAATCGTCACATTTAGAATAATCTGAATAATTATCTTCAGAGTCTTCTGAACTAAGATCATTTAAAGCACTATTGCAATCAGAAAAATTCTCCTGTATTGAATACTCTGAGTCACTACTTTCTTGTGAAATTTCACTATATTTCGGGGTTTCAGATAAATTTTGTATTTCTATATCAATATCTGGTAAAAATGAATCTTGAATTTCGTATAATATATCCGTATTAACATCGACATTAGAGAAATTATAATTTGGATCAGATTTTATTTTACTATAATTTTATTATTATTATGTATAATTAATGTTAAGTATTAATTAATATTAACCAAACTAAAATACATATTTATTATTAAAGATTTTAATAATAGACTTGCTTAGAATCCTTAATAATTAAATAAAAAACTTAACTAATTATTAATTTGAACATCATTCTCATCACTTGATGGCTCTGAAGTCTGTGATAACTCTAAATTCGATGGTTCTAAATATGTTATTGTAGACTTCTGGTAAATTCATTGAGCTTTCATATATCTAACTCGTGTACTTTTGCTAACCCAAGCACTATCATAACCTTCCTCAGCACACAAAAAGCATTTGCAATATACTTTATTTTCATGATCTGCAATAGGTATTAAATCAAGTTCTATTATTGAAATATTGCTTTCTCCTTTACTAAGCTCCATAATAAAGGCCTCTTTTTTGTATTAAGGGTTAAAATATTTTTATTTATGAATTTTAGTAAATTTGTAAAATATTTAAAGCGAAAATTTTATTTGTATATTTTATATTTATTTTAATTTAAGCTCAAGATCTTATTTGAAGTCCGACAAGTATTTATAAAATCGAAAAATGGTCAAAATCATAAACTTACACTTTTTCAAATGCTATATAACTTTATATTGTTAAAAAAAAATGCTACCAACTAAACAAAAAAATAAAAATAATAATAACAAACCTCAAATAATGGATCTCTTACTTCTAACAATGAGATTACTAACTTAAAAAATCAGTTGGAATATCTTAGAGCTGAAACGAAAGGCTTCAGCAGTCTCAGCAACCTAACGTTACACAAAGCTTTAATAATATTCATGTTTCAAAAAAAAGTTCTTATCATACTAACACTGACAAGCTTTCAAGTATGGTTCCTAGTAATTCTAATGATTCTAAAAATAACGAAGGCCCATTACCACTACTATGATTCTAGTGATTCGAATTCACTAAGAATAGTAATTGTAGCGATTCTGAAAATGATTATAATAAGCAATTACCAGTACAAAAAAAGCTAAAAAGCTATAAAAAAATAATGAAAAGGTCATTGATTCCGGTGACTCTGACATCTCTAAAATAGATAATTCAAGTGATAGACAAACTTCAAGCAACCATAAAAATATAAGAAAATATAAGAATATTACTTCGCATAGTTCTGAAAGTGGAATCAATCAGGTGCAAAATGTTTTTCCTTTGTGACTTGAATATTGTTTATATATGCATAAATATATATATATAAAAATATATATAATATATATAATATATATATAATATATAATATATATATTTTTTTTTTTGGTATTAAGGTGAGGCCTTGCTCATATCTTTATTAGTAACTTTAAAAATAGTAACTACA